AATTTCAAAATAATATTTTAATAGATTATTTTTCCTGTTGTTTATTTAGGTCACAGTTTTGAAATCCAACAAAGGAATTTGAGTTTCTAAAATAGTAGTGTGTGGGTCACATTTAAATTTGTGGTAAGGTTGTTGGTACTGCTTTAGTTCATATTCTCGTTTAGAAATTCAGGACTAATTAAAATGTGATCCTCTTTGAGGCTGGGAATTAGGAAGTCACTAAGGTACTTATAATGTATATCAGTGTTTTTAAGTATAATTACAGAGGAGTCAGACTACAAATGTGTAATAAGGGTAATTAGTACCTTGCTTGAGTTAATTGATTAAAACTGTGATGTTTGGTCCTAAAGTAACTGGAATTCTGTCATCTGTGAAGGTCACGCCTGTTTTCTTATATGTACAAGGTAATGAAAATGTAATAAAGATATACTGAAGCCTCAAGAATTAATAATTGCAGTGGGAGGTCAGGCTGAATTATAGACATTTAAGTACACTACTGTTGCGTTGTTAATGTTGGAAGTAGGGATTTGAAACATTTAAAACATTTTGCCAAGTAGAGATCTTGTTCACCTGCTTTAAATGGCCAGATAATTTGCCCTTCTATTGCCTTAAGTGCTGAGAATGTGTATTTCCTTAGGAAGGCTTAATTACCAAAATTCAGTTGGCTTCATGTTGATCTATGAAGTTTCAAAAATAGTAGACTGTTCATTGGTGCTCTTACCATATTACCTATTGCATTTACCTAAGCACTTATGTTTCTTAGCATGAAAGTGCTCTCAAGTAAGAGACCATTTGTTATTACTAAGCCAGGGTCCTAACTGGGATGGTAATGAGATGAACCAAAGGTGGGGATGTTGGGTGTCATGTATCTTATTACATTAAGCCTGGAGGCCTAAGTCATAGAGCTGAAATAATGGTTTCTGTTGTGCTTCGATTATGTCCCCTGCCTTTCATTGTCTTACACGGCCACCTTTGGAATTCGTCTCTTATTCCCTGTGCCTAAGAGCAACTAGTGCATTTCAACATAGGTCTGAGAGCATCCTAGTTAAGAGGAACCTGGCTTCTTTGTATCTGTGTTCACCTTATTTGTAAAACTAGGGTCATAATTGTACTTTCTTAATAGCTTTTTGTGGTTATTCTGAAAAATAACAATGGCACAGAATGCATTTAGCATGCTGCTTACACATACTACATGTTCAATAAATATTAGCTATTCTCCTTAGAGGCAAGTCCCAGGTTTAATATTTTAAAACTTTTTATATGTATCTTAAAACTTCCAGGCCAAGGGGACGAAGTCCTTTGTTACACAATTTTTGAGTACCTCAGTATAGTCATTAAACGTACATGGTCTCTACTTTTGAAGAAATAAAGGTCTTATGTAAACAAGTAATCACAGCTACTAGGGCCCTCAGCTGTCTGGGTTTTTCAAGACATCCCAGGGCCAACTTAATGGCATTTAGTCATAGCTCCACAGTATGTCTGATTGTCTTTCTGAAGTTGCTACAAAATCCTTGTAGGTAATACCTTACCCTTATTCTAACTCGCCTACCTCCCTCAGCACAGCTGGGACACGCTAGTTATTGAATGAAACTCATCAAGTCCCTAATTCTTTACCACCTCACTCCTCGCCACATGGAATTCTAGTGAAAGAAACTTTTACTTTATGCTGTTCAAAAGGGCCCTTTTCACAAAGTGTAATAGAGACTGTACAATTTAAGCTTTGTGCTCCATGGCCTACGGATTTACCATATTTATTTATGCAGATTTACTAAAGGGAGTAAGAGTGAAACTGATATAACTAAGATAGTTACCTCTCACTTTCCCTCCCAGCTTTCCTCCTCTGGAATTATTCACTTCCAGATTCAAAAGTTTATTTCTGAATGGCTGTTTCTCCTGTCATAGCCTGCAGTGTACATCAGAATAAAGAACCGTGCCCAGGATGAGTATCTGACAGTCACTGGAAATCTAGCAGACACCAGGGCAACATCTGTGTGCATTTCTCCCTATAGTGGAAAGGATACTCAGATCTGGCACTACTGCCGAGGACTCTTTAAATCCAAGGTAAGCAATCCCACTGATACAGTACGCCACTTTCTGGCCTCAGTTTTTTGTTTTGAAAACTAGAATCTTGTCAAATCAACTGGCATGATAAAACAGTGCAACTTCTTAGAAACAGGTGTTGATTATAAAAATACTGCCATATATTACTAAAACATTTATATAAAATTGACTTAATTTTTTGATCTAGATAATCGTTTCAATTTTTAAGTAAACACAAAGGTTATCACATACTATGGATATACCTAAGTGATTTTTTATTTACAACCAATGGTATAAGTCACCAGATCTAAGCTGGACAATGTGCTTTTGCAAGACGTTCCTTACTTGATGGCCCAGATAAAATCAGCTATGTCTGATTCTAAATAAGTTGAAACCCTTTCACTTTCAAAGTATACAAAAGAAGCAGTAGAAAAAGAAAGCTGTTATTGGAAGAAGCTTAGAAAATAAAATTTAGGGTTGTTCTTTTCTATGACCCTCCCATTATGTTTAATGCATTGGGAATAGAACACTAGTTTTAAAACATTCAAACTGTGTTTTATTGTATCACCAATGGATTATCTTCTTTTTTTCATGCTTCAAAAATGAAAAACATTGAAAAGTAATTATTTTCTGGATATCTTTAGCCCATCATGCAATGTTTTCGTAAGAAAACCAAGTTCAGCATAATACATTTTAAGCAAACAAGGGTTTAACATTTAATTCCAATTCAGCAAATCCTTATTGAACATCTGTGTCAGATGTAGACATCCGATTAAAAACAAGTACCTCTATTTCAGTTGGTTTATTTCTGTACCATTTCCTACCCACAGCCATAAAGAAGACATTAAAAAAGGCTTACTGAAATTATACTATATAGTATTTTTTTTAGACAAGACATACATACTTCATGTCTATGATTTGTTTACCTAAGAGAAAAGGGACCTAATTCAGCTTACTTTAGCAAACACAGTACTGCCAATTAATCATTTCTTAACCCTCTTAGGCCAGTGATACATGTCTTGATGTGATTGGTGGCCGGGACACACCTGGAGCTAAAGTAGCTCTATGGACTGAACATGGGCAATTCAGGCAGAAGTGGAGACTGAATCAAAATGGAACTATCAGCTCTTATCTCAGTGATCAACTTGTCCTCGATGTTAAAGGTGGGCCTTTAATGATACCCAATGTTGGGTCCCTGGATATTAGTTTCAGTTCCACATCTCCTCATTTTGGGTAAAGGACATCCTTATGTATAAGAGAAATGTTACGTCATTTAAAATTATGCTTGAAAAAAAGTTAAGACAGGCAGTTATACAAACAAAACAATTAGCAGAAAAAAACAAACAACAAAGCTTAGGGTTTTTGTTCGTTAGTACAGTTGTAAAACTTGCATTTGCTACATGAACTCAGAACAGTTCTAAATTTGAAGCACCATAAACCCATGAATATCATCTGTTTCTTAGAAACATCTCCAGCTTTTCGCCAGGAATTGCCATGGTCCTTCAAACACTCAGCTCTAATTTATGGTAGGTCTCAATTAACCTTGTTTTTGAATTCAGCAAGGTCAGGGCCAGTATTATTCATGGCTGTTGCTTTAATTGGGTTAGTCAGTTTTGTTAGTGTAGAAACAAAAACACAGTACCTGACATTCAGCCAGAGTTCTCTCAGAGCACTCTGTTCTAAAGAATCGCATTGTTAAGGCATGCCGCTTATACAATCACGTATTATACCTTTTAGTATTTCAATTTGAGTCATAATAAGGTCCAATTTGAGGTGAATAATGGCTAAGCCTGTTCAGACTCAGCTTCCCATTTCAGACTTCTTTGTAAATGACACATTAATCCACTGAAATGGTGAGCTGAACAGAAGCTTGTGAAAATTGTGAAATTGCTAAGCACCTGCCTGAACAAATAATCTTTTCTTTTGGAATTTCTATTTTAGGAGGAAATTATTGTGACAAGACTCATGTAATTGTAAATCAGCCCCTGGAGGGAGAAGAAACACAGAAATGGGACATTGAAATATTATGAGAGAATCAACATCCCTAGAAAGAGTGAAGAAGAAGGAAACTCACATCTGTCATTGTCTCGTGGACATGGAAAGGAAGCTACTATCCTCACACTCCTGGATCACTGAGCAGAATGAACATTCTCTCCAACCTCTGAGACTATCGCTCTTAACCCTGGAAAAGCTCAAAATATTCTTGCCATTACTCAGTGTTCCTATAAAGAAAATATTATGATGTCTGGCAAAGGTTCTATTCCTGATCTCCAGCTGTGGTGAGCAAGTTTCCTGAAGTGTTTATTTTCTCTCCTATCCACCAAACGTGAATCCTATTCCTGATGGCCTGTTATTGGACACTGGTGATGCTGTTATCCTGTAGTATTTATTAATATCCTACCTAGATGCTTGTATGAGTACAAAGCATAAAGAAACAGATTCCTATAGGTCAAGTCATACTTTTGCAAAGAGATGAGTAATTTTTTAGCAACATCTGAAAATATATATTAAACTTTCCTAGATAAACTTTAAGGTTTCTATACTGAGACTTTTATAACACACCTCATAAGTATTTATTTTTACTTGTAACTAACCCCAGGCAGGGACGTCAGCTTTGTTAGGAATAAGGCACAAGTAGTAAAGTATTTTCTGTAGCTATTGTTTCCTCAGTCCTTCAAACTAGAACAGTACAAATAACCTATGACCAAACTTGCACTCTTACATGTTAACCAAGACATCCCTTTAGGTGACAAGACTCTACAACAGTGGTTACCTATCTCCATGCTGACACTTCATCCTAGATTTAAGGAGAGGCATTTTTTTTTTTTTTTTTGCCTCAAGTGAAGAGAAATTTCAAATGTCCAAATTAAAACAAAGTAGTATTTGAACCTTGACCTTACCATCTTTTTTTAAATAAATGTGGAGTTGATTTCTCTACTAAATAATAGAAGCCTCACTTCTTCACTCCCATGGTAAGTAACTTTTATTTAAGTAAACTCAGGCAGGAAATCACCTTTGACTTGGCTTCCAGTAGTCATGACCACCTTTTACTGCACAATTCACAAGCGTTTTTTTCCTGCTGAATGGGATTGAGACTTTTACATTAAGACAACTTTTCCTTTTATCCCCAACTTTTGCCAGAAAGCAGAAAAATGCTCTATTTTTATAAAGATTAAATTCTCTGGTGATATTTTAAAAAATATCAACCTATATGCACTTTAGAATGTAAAATAACAGTGAGTATTTTAAACTCGAAGACCCACTATTTTGAGTATTTTTTATAGACTTAGTTTTTCCATGTAAATACTGGGTTTTTTCTTCCCTCAATTTCAGGCTTTTCTCCATCTTTTAAGCAGCCTCTGTAACTCCCTTTTGTCCACAGGTGGTGTGTGCCTCTCATTTTGGGGGAGTATTATTTAATAAAATTTATGTTACAGGATAACTTTTAGTGGGCGTGGGCTTGTCTATACACAAAGGTATGTATATTTTCACTGTAAAAAAACAATTTAAAATTTTTTCTTATTTTAATTGTTGGAAATTTTTCTAGAGCCAAAGCAGCTCTTTAAAGAAGTTGTTTCTTCCAAAGAACAAAGCCAGGTTAATGACATTCAATTCTAAATGATACATTGGAATTGTGCCTTTTCTACCACACTGGATTAAATAAACTTGTCAAAATATGGTTTTTTCATTTTCTGAGACACTTGATAATTTGCTGTTCTTTCATGTGCCCGTTAGTACACTTAGCCAAATGACCACCTATAATAGGGAGGTCTCATGTTAATAGATACGCAGGTAAGGAAACTTGAATTCATCCTCTCCTCGGCTCAGGTCTTTGCTTTTCTTTTAATATGTGCATATAAAATAGTAGCATTTGATTCGGCAAAGGCACTAGACTACTTGAATCAAACACTCTGTCCAGAGGGATAATACCAGGCTTTCCCTTTCCTCGTCTGTAGTAAGTTTCAGGTCCTTGACAGAAATAGTGGAACTGTTCCAAATTTGCTTCAGTGCATCCAAATGTGACAAAGGAAAGCGAAGTCCATGAGACTGAAAAAGGATACATTAATTAGTCAAAAATACGTATACTACTTATGTCACTGAAGTGGCATTTTCCTGTAAATTTATTCTCAATACATTATTTTTGATACCCTTCATGAGTATTTTAGATATGCTACAATTAGATGATAACATAAAAGATGCCAACTTCTATATAAAAGGGATCCTAATTTATGTAGTAAGTGATATTAGTAATTTGAAATGCTTTACATTATACCATTCCTATAAGGCTACAGGTCCCAGCTAGTAAGCTTTAAAACTGGTGTGCATGTATCACAGAAATGTCTGACTTAATCATCCCCATGAAGGAGCTCTGTGACTAGTGCAAAATAGTAAGTCCACAGTGCAGCCATAAAAAGCATATTACCTATAAATCAAAAATAATCCATTCTTCCCAACCACCACCCAAGGCACAGGATAGGTATTTGTTTTCAGTTGGAACAAACCTCTGTTTCCTCCTCATTCCCCATCATGTGTGTCTCTCTCCTATTCTTTAAGGAATGATAGATGTACACCATCTTTTCTTGAGCTTCATCCTTTGGGAAAAAAATAAATGCATTAGGCCATCAACAACACAACACTGAGGATGTCAGTGCTAGAAAGGTTTTACAATAGGTCAACATCAAGAAAAATCTTAAACGCCTTGGTATTCAAGTGACATTTATTGAAAACTGTAAAGAATCCTTTTGGCAAAAAGTGATGGGTGTGTGCATCCACACAATGTCTACACTTCATTAGTCACCACAGGTTACTATTTGTATGTGGCAATAAGTTGTTAAAACAGCTGGAGTGCTACCTGGAAGAGCATCCTCAGGATTTAATGAAAAAGCAATGATTTATGTATCAACTTATCAATGAAATGTTCAGTTTTTTTAAAGCATACCTGCACTGTCTTTTTTGGAATCAAAAACATCTGACATTCCTAGGTATAAACTGACAATTTATGAACATCATGAAGTCATTAACTCCTGAGAAATACCAGCTGTGTGATCTATAAAAAACTCCATTTCAATTACAGTACCCTTCCACATGGTCCCTATCTCCTTTCACCCCCCATCTTACACAGTGCAGTTTATCGTCTCTTCCACAGCCTTTAGTCATTCTTTGTCACCTCTTAGATAAGGGCAAAAAAATCTTAGCCTAGCATACAATGTCTCAAACTGACTGGTTATCAGAATCACTGTTTTTTTTTTTTAGACAAGGATGTAGGAATGTGTACTTTTGATTCCAAAAAGACAGTGCAGGTAGGATTTAAAAAACTGAGCATTCCAAGTCTGGCCCGGACGGCTGGAAAATCTGGTTATTGAGACATGTTGAGAACCCCTCTTATCCCCCTTGATCATTCATAGGATAGCTCCTCAGAGAGCTGATTAGGAGGAATGGGGAAAAGCCAGATGGTATGAGATGGTTCTTAGGACTGTACGGGGAGCTCTATGAAAACATAAATCCAAAGGCTCCAAGACCAGATGAAACTCAGGAATTTATAATTTTAAAAAGCTTTCCAATCGACTCCACGATCAGTTAGCCAGTTTGGGGAATCACTGGGCTAGGAAGCAAAGTTACAGAATATAGACTTTGTTCTCCATAATCTACAGGATAGAGTTTAAGTAGATGCAATATCCACAAAACCACACAGAGAGACAGATGTGCACAGTGTGGAGGACTGGGGCTGGGAAACTCATGAATGAGGTCTGTGGCTGTCCAAGCAGGAACAGTAAGGCCTAAAGTAGGATGGGAAGCAAAGACTAGACATCAGTCACCACATAAAGGGAATGACGGAATGTTCTGTGAGGATGAGGGCAGGAAAATACGGAATTGGAACTGTGAGATTTGGTCATCATCTGACCTGAAGAAATGGCATGAAACTGAATGCAGGTGGATTCCTAAAGATGGGCAGAGACCAGTGGTTAATCTGATAACCGAGGCCTCTGATGAAAAACACCCTGAGAAGAGAGGAAATCTCCCTCTTGGATACTCACAGATTGATCCTGATCTGGCAGTACGGTGAGGACAATGTGGTCTTTAAACTGCAGTCTCACTACACTGTCCAACCTCGGTAACTTTCCACCTAGAAAACCCCAAAGAGAGAAAGCTGACCTTCAAAAAAGGAAACAGGCAGATTCAAACTTGCTTACAGACATAGGAAACACATTTACTAACAATTTACAGGTGAATCCAAACATGGCATACACTCCAACTGGACTTTGCTTACCCCAACATTGTACTGATATTATAGTTCACATCGTTATGGAGCTCATTCTTACAGTAAAGACAGACATAGAATTAGATAAATACCAATGTAAGTTTATAAGTACAATAAATAGACAAAAATAATACCATCGAAGTACACACACGTAAGTATCACAGCACATAAGGCTGTGGTGCTTTGTGCACAGAACACTCACTCCTCCAGTTTCTCTCCTCTACAAGCTTCTTGCTCAACATGTGGACTCTGGAAGGACGACCTGAGTTCAAAATTGCACTATTCCACCAATTATTAGGTGTGTGACCCTGGTCAATTATTCAGTCTATGTAAGTCAAGCATAGTATCCTATAAAAGCCATCTAATAAAGTCCACAGAAAAAAAAAAATTTTTTTCCAAATTGGATTTAACTTAGTGGAACAATACAAAATAAAAACAGACTAGCCTTACAGGGTCATCTGCGTGGGGAAAGAGTTGTGAGGGATCATCACTTTATTGAATATAATGGCTAAGGAAAACACTGAAGTAATCTGGGCCATAAGCTGGTGCATAAGCAAACTGTTCTGCTAAAGATTAAACCATGTGCTTGTAAAACATCTGCTATTTTGAATAGATACAATCAAAAACAAATCCTAAGCTTCCTCTAAAGACTATAATAAAAATGTACGCAGAATCAGTGTTGGAAGGGACCTTATAGATTATCTCAGTGGTTCTCTCTTGGTCACAAATAAGAGTTTTATAAAAGTTAGTAAGAAATACTCTTTTCACTCAACCCTGAGAAAGAACAGCAGCCAAAAAGCTGGCCTGGCAATCACAGCTAGGTCTTGGTGTTCTCCTGTTGAACACAGGCAGTTCCACAGAATGCTAACATCAGAGATCACTCTGTGACCGTGATAGGTCAAGACAAAACACCATCGCTCCATACATACTCATGTCTAAACTCAGGCAAGGCAAGAACATTCCAAACCACAACACTGACCAAACGTCCCCCTACTCTGGCTAATGAGTGACCACTTCTGCTTTACCACTGATAACTTCAGCCTCATACATTCCTCCTCCTACCTACCAGATAACATTTAGGAGACTGAATCCTAGAATCCCTTCCATTTCCTGACAACATCCAATCCAGAGCAAAGCCCTGCTTCCTTGAACCCTCTCCAAAATCACCTGACACCTGAGTCCTATCAATCTTTTCTAACACCCTTTTACTGAGGTGCCCTGCAGTCCCCAGTGGTGTGTGGTCTTCCCACTGCACCAAGTCAAGAAATCCAATTTGGTCTGAATTCAGGAGTATGTTCTTGGTGGTCTTTGCTATAGGACATTGACATCATCCATCTGGAAGTCATCAATGACATCATCCATCCAGAAGTATGTTATATCAATTGCAGGCTAAATCTGTCATGAATCAGGCACCTGTACCTTGAAGAAGGCTGACAATAATCTTGGACATTTCTTGAATCTCACTGGCTGACGGCACCCATTTTACCTATGCTATGATTTGGATGTTTGTGCCATCCAAATCTCATGTTCAAATTTGATCCCCAGTATGGAGGTGCAGCCTAAGGGGAGGTGTTTGGGTCACATTGCGGGGAGCAGATCCCTCATGAATAGATTAATTCCCTAGGGTTGGGGGCGGTGAGTGAGTTCTTGTTCCGTTAGTTCCCATGACAGCTGGTGTTAAAAAGAGCCTGGCACTTATCCTCGCTCTTGCTTCCTCTCTCACCATGTGTTCCGCAAATGCCGGCTCCCTTTCTCCTTCCACTGTGAGTGGCCTGAGGTTTTCTCCAAATGCAGATCCCAGCACCATGCTTCTTGTACAGCCTGCAGACCATGAGCCAAATAAACTTCTTTTCTATATAAATTACCCAGCCTCACGTATTCCTTTAAGCAACACAAACAAAGACAACCCATCCCTGACTTAATTCCAACAAGATTATTTCAATGTTCAAATTTTTAAAACTTCCTGAAGACTATGAATACCAGAGTACCTATAAATATACATATTTCTCACCCAAAAGGACAGGGTTCTTATTTCCCATCAGGCTGGGATACAAGTTCTTTCCAAATGACTTCTAAGATGCAGGTTACTAAAGGTTGAGTGCAGCACATCTCGTCTGACCATATACACTAAGGATGGATGTAGGTCCACATTAACATGAAAGCACTTCAAACTTCCCATCTGTTCAAAGAGGCGCCTACCCAGAAAAACCGCAAACATCCTGCATTAGCCTCTGACCACCCAGAAGAAAACAGCAAGCTCCACCTGGTGTTGACAGCTCTGCCCCATCTCCCGCAGAGTAAGGGGGGAGTCTGTGCATAATAAAATCCTTCTTCATGTCTGAGGAAAGCAGTTCTTTGGTGCCCTCCAGCCGGTCCGCAAGCGTCCTCAGGAAGCCACTTAATCGTCTTGTTGCAACAGTTGTGGATTCCACCTGCTAGGAACACAGAAGTGAGTCCTGGCCCAGATGCCAGCAGAACTTACTGCCCAGCTCAGTCTCCACAGTAGACTGCAAAACTGCCAGCCACCCGGGATGGACATTAATCCATGTCATTCCAAAGGGGAAGGGACAACCTGAGCCCCTAAGAATATCTCATCATTTCCTTATAAACACTGTTAATTCTAAGCTGCCTGTTGTTTGCAAAAACTTTTCAGAATTTTGTCTAGAAATAGAGATCCTTGGGAAAATGGTACAGTCTGAGCTCTGCCTTTTGGAAAGCAGGTCACTGTCCTAAGACGAATGCTTCAGACAGAGAAAGCAACCTTTGCTCAACTCAGCTCTAATCCACTCATCTCAAAACTAATCAAATAACACCCCTGTTTCAAAAGGTAATAAAAGAACAGGAGGCCAACGAATACACCGAGGCCAGGATCTCCAGTACAGTGGGTCTCTCTTAACTAGTAATCTGATGTGTGCTAAATCTACAGTTCTCCTGGCCATATTGTTCATTTACTCAACCAACATTTTCACACTGCCTGCTACTGCCACGGTGAAATACAGAGCTGTCTGTACAACATCACGGTTCTCTGGATCACCACGTAACACACGGCACTCCACTCATTCTGCAAATCACACAGCTCAGCAGTGCAGCACAGTAGACAAGCCTGGCTCATGTGGGAAGAAGTATCCTGTGGTCCTTAAGGTAGCACTTCAGCTGGCCTGGGCTGCAGTTACCATCTTTCATCCTAGCTGCCTTTACTCCTTACCAGGAGCAGCTGCCGGGGTATGCCGGCCCGTAATTCCACGTCTTCCTTTGCGGTATCAAATACAAGCCCCGAGATGGTATCCAAAAGGAAATCTCCCCATGAACTAGGATATGCACCAAGGGGGGAAAAAAAAAGCCAAAACAGTGAGCACATACGAAATATACATAAAATAGTTATTGCTAGTAAAGCCAAAAGCTACAGATTGGATTATGGCTTCCCTGTCCAGGCATTTTGAGTTCCATTAATTGGACATTACTCAGCATGGAAATCTAAGACCTTCATCAACCACCCTGTGTCCTCCCTCCCCATTCCAGACGCTCACTTGCAAAATTAAAAGTGGGAAGCTAGGCTTCAAGACTGATTTCTCTTAAAAGCTCTCAGAAAATCAACCATAGACTTCCATAAAACAGGAAGTTCAACAGACCAAATTTTTAACAAAAGTGTCTATGAGAGGAGATTTGTAGGAAACTTAAACAGTCATTATAGGACCTAAAACCAAATTTTATGTGCAATAAATACAACAGAAATTTGGGGTAACAGCAAGATCTCTGGATTGTGTAATTATTTGAACAGTTGTATGTTACATCTTCCTTGTCACTTACAACAAGGGATGCTATTCCTGAATAAAATATCTACCATCAATAATTTCAAAACAATTATGTCTAGCAGTGGTTTTACCAGGGGACAGAAGCCAGTGACTAGAAATAACATCTAGGGACAAGCATCCCTATTCAATTACCTTTGCTTTCTCTGGGGTATCTGGTCCTAAGTGTGTGCCGGTGTAAGAAACGCACTCTGTGGGGATGCTCTCTTTAAACATTTCTTAGCAATTTAACATTTTCCTGTGTCACCAGCAGATTTCAAATTGCCGGAGAGTGGAAAATGGAAATTCACAGTATGACTTTTACTTCTCACTCAGTAAGCAAAATTATCACTGTTATGCTTCTCTCCCAGAAAAGTTGCAAAGGAGGACAAAAGCCACATGAGAGACAGTTTTCCCAAGACTTCTACTAGCTGGCAGCCTCACTGCTTTGTGACTTAATGTGATATCCAACCCTGCCTCTTTCGTTGAGTCTCAACCTGGAGGGCGTATGCAGATCTCTCAGCACATAAAATATGTGCTTCCTTTGCAGGGTTTTGTAGGTGGAAGTCATACAGCAACAGCTCGTGGAGGAATTTAGTAGAAGTTAAATAGTGCTCTTCTAAGAATATTCGGAATAGACATGGGGACTTCGCACAATTTAGGAATATCTCTTGAAGGGTTCACTTTGGTAAAACCACCAAATCAACGACATACAGCAGACCCCCAAACACTCCAACGATGCTACCTTGAGAGGTGTTAGGAAGAGGCCCCAAATATTCACCTTTCCATGGTATCTGAAGGAGCATTAGGCTCAAAGCACAGGATCATTTCTGGGGAGCAATGGCCCGCAAGTCACATCTTCTCATTCTAGCTCCAGCATCACTGACCAAGACACAGGTCAAAATCCAGCCTGGACACAGTGATCATGGTACCCACCCACAACCCTAGGCAGGCAACTTCTGTAACTTAGGAAGCTCTTCTCCAGCCCCAGCTGAATGGAGAAGAAATGAATAGGAACCAGGGGCAGCCGGCCAGTTCTTCACTCTTGGGACTGGGAAACCGAGAATGAGTCAGGTCCTCAGCAGAAGCAAAAGCTAATAGGATCAATGAGATAGAGGGAGGTCAGAGCACCAACTGGTGATGGCTTAATGTTATGAGTAAACAGAAGCTACAGAAGGAATAGAAGGGAGAAAACACCAGTCGCTAGAAAACCAGTTGGTAGCAGCAAGAGAAATGGAAAAGAGAATTACAGAAAGGGAGTAGCTAAGAAACATTAATGATGGGACACCAGCAGATGCACGATGTTCAAAGGGCCAAACTATGTGGTCCAGAACTGCTCTGAATCCAGAATGGACTTCTGATTCCAGCCTCTCCGTGGCCTGGCCCTTCTATAGTTTCTAGGATCACTCCCTCAAGTGACTCTGTGCTTCTTGGGCTGGCTTTGGTGACTTTCTGTCCCTTAAGATGCAAGGAACCTACGTAGCCACAGTGATGAGGGCATTTTTCAAAATGGAAGGCTAATACAAGCTTGGGCTTTCTACTTGTGGGAAAGGTAGCACTAAAGTAGGGCCAGACCTCAGCTAGTTCCTCCAGTAAGTCTTTCAAATGTAGAGGTGAAATTCACACTGAAAAGTCTGATGAAGAAGCAGAGGTATGCTTACTAACTTGTTTTGCAAGTTCTGGCCTTGAAGGTAGGAGGGGACTTGCCATTCCTTGGACCTAGAATGTCCGCTCCTACTCTGATCTGCTGACCCACCCCTACTTACTCATCCTTAAAGACTCACTCAGCACTGGTGTTATTTCTGAAGCCTTCTCTAACGCCCCTACTTAGCTAAATGCATTCCTCTAAGCTCCAAGAGTCTCCTCCGCAAACCTACAATAGAATTTATCACACCATCTCTTCTACAACCACTTCCAAAGTATAAGCTCTCTCAAAGTCCCTTCAATACAATCTTTGAATTCCCTGCAACAAACACAATGTCTAGTACGTATCTGCTTAACACATTAACTCATGACTAGTATTTTTTTTTTTTTTTCCTGAGACAGAGACTTGCTCTGTCACCCAGGCTGGAGTGCAGTGGCGAGATTTGGTTCACTGCAACCTCCACCTCCTGTGTTCAAGTGATTCTCCTGCCTCAACCTCCAGAGTAGCTGGGATTACAGGTGCACACCACCACACCTGGCTAATTTTTGTATTTTTAGTAGAGACGGGGTTTCACCATGTTGGCCAGGCTGGTCTCAAACTCCTGACCTCAAGCGATCCACCCCCCTTGGCCTCCCAAAGTGCTGGGATTACAGGAGTGAGCCACCATGCCTGGCCATGATTAGTATTTTAAATATGATTTGGGCCAGCAAGGTTGCTGCTTTTTGGATATAACTCACATAGCACTGCCACCCAGTGAGGAGGTACTAGCTGAAATGAAACAGGATTTTAATTGGAACTGCTGTCAGCACATGCACTTTAGTTCCTGCTGTTCCAGACTGCCTGTCCGACTTTAACTTCATGGACTGTAAAAAGAGAACCCCTCAAAAGAGATCAAGAGATTTCAATGGGTACAGAGTTTCTGTTGGAATAAAAATATTTTAGAAACGAACAGTGGTGATGGTTGCACAAGAGTGTAACTGTAATTAATGTCAAACTATATATGCTTTAAAATGGTTCAAAATGATATATTTTATGTTCTATATATTTTATATTAAAAATAAAAAGAGAGTACGAGCCCAGCCTGGCATCACTAACACACTGATGTACTCACGGCTCGTCTCTTTCTTTCCAAACTATAGGACTCTCTATTTGGGCAACGCCCCATGTCCTACATAGAGTCAGGTTCATGATGTCCCCAGGGGCAAGTCCAGAGGGGCCAGTCACATACATGGGACATCAAAGGAATGTGGAAGTCAGCAAAGGACACAGAAACCCTGGGGTCTGCGTAGGAGGCAGGGGCCAACTCCCTCATGTCCCTCCCGAACGTGGCTGCCGTGGCCAGGACTCGGCGCCGTCCTAGCGTGCACAGCCGGGAGGCCGTGTTTACTTGTTCTGGTAGGTGCTGATGGTCACGTGAGTCGAGTGGGCCAGCCCCGCAGGAGTATCCGCTTGATGAATGGTTCCTCTGGGAAAGTACAACAAATCACCCGGCTAAAAGAAGGAATAGGAAAGGGGAGAGAAGTTAATAAGCATTCCTTCTCAGTCTTCTGTATTTCAGGGAGAAAAATATGGGCTTTGAGTCTCAGTTCGCCATTCGAGAAACCGCGACCTCAAGATGCAGTTGATACGCTGGGCTCAGGTCACGTGCAGCTAGTCTAGCTTCTCTGTGTCCGTGGGCCTGTCACTGTTAACCACAATCCACGAGGGGCTCTCAGTGCCTGAGGAACTCTCTTTTCATTCTCAAGCTGAGACTAGACTCATCTGAGACTACCCTGTCCTGATATAGGGATCAAGGATAGTAACACCCTGTGCCTGGGAAGCCTGCTTCCTCCCTCTTGCATGCTTCAGTGGTTAACAGGAGGAGCTTTAATTTAGAGTCACATAGACACTCCCACTTACTGGCTGATGATCTGGCAATTACCTGCCCAAAGTCTCAGTTTCTTTATCTGTAAAATGGAGGTTCATAGCCCCAAAACTTACAGGATTATTCTGAGGGTTAGAGGTGCTGCTTCCAAGCTCTTAGGGCCATGATGGGCATGTGATTGGATGACATGATCTTATCTGCCAGTTTCCCACTTCCTGATAATTTTTGAGTACTCCCAGGCGCAGGGTCTGTATCTTACCCTCTTGTCTTTCTCAGAGCCTACCCTAGCAAAGCACCTAGCACTCGACACAGGCTCAACGAATGTTGGGATGAACTGAAAAACTATACAATCCTTATTTGAACTGAAAAATCCGATGTAATCAAAGATTCATCATTTTCCTAGGCAGCTGAGCCTCCCCTACCCTATTCCAAGTGAGTGGACCAAAACCTTCTCCCCACATTACTCCTGCCCTGAGCTACCTCCTTCCTAATCCCACTCAGGCCAAAACATTCCATACAGCAGCTACCTACAGAGAAAAGAAATCTGGAGGGCAGCTCATCTTCTCTCTGCAACTACAAGAGTCAGTCTAGTGCAATGGTTAAGACCATGAGCCCTGGAGAAAGAGCTCAAGAAATACGAGCTTTAAGCAACAGGAATATATCATGATGTATATTCATAAGAGCTATCTTGGTTGCAAATTTTCCCTGAATGACAACAAACTGACAGTACTTCAAGTAAATGCTTTACTGGTAATTATAACTATCGTTCACTGAGTGTCTCTGTGCCAGCCTGAGTGAGACTCTTATGTATACAGTCACACGTCACTTAACAATGGGGTTATGTTCTGAGAAAAGTGGTTTGTCACTGTGCAAACATCAAAGTGTACTTACAGATCGAGGTAGTATAGGGTGCTACCAAGATTACATGGTGCAGCCTACTGCTCCTAGGCTCCAAACCTATACAGCACGTGACTGTACTGAATACTGTAGAAAACTGTAACACAATGATGTTTGTGTACTTAAACATATCTAAATGTGGACAAGTAAAAATACAGTATAAACCATAAAACATAGTACATCTACATACTCTGGGCGAGCCCGTCAGTGATGGTAAGTGAATGGGAGAACCCAGGACCCCACTGTACACTTTTATACGACTAGCAAAGAAGTAGGGTTGTTTACAGCAGCATCACCACAAACACGTGAGTAATGCGTCACACTACAACATTTTACAATGGCTACGATAACACTAGGTGATAGGAATTTTTCAGCTTCATTATAACCTCATGGGACAACTGTCACAGATGTCTGTTGTTGACTAAAACGTCAAGTGGCACATGACTGTGTATTTCATTGATTTCATACACATTTGCTCCACCCTCCTGGCTGGAAAAGCCAAGTAAACATCCTCCCCCCAGTCTCCTGAAGGAATGCAGTACAGCAACCCCAGAGAAACCCCTTTTGGGCTCCTGACCTCCAGAAGCATAAGATAATGAATTTATTTGTTTTAAACCACTGATTTAGTGGAAATTTGACAAGAAGCAACAGGAAAACAAGACAGACATACAGATATTGCCTCTAAAGATTTTTTTTTTTTTTTTTTTGCCCAGGCTGGAGTGCCATGGCGCGATCTCGGTCACTGCAACTTCCGCCTCCTGGGTTCAAGTGATTCTCCTGCCTCAGCCTCCTGAGTAGCTGGGATTACAGGCATGAGCCACCACACCCAGCTAATTTTGTATTTTCAGTAGAGACGCGGTTTCTCCATGTTGGCAGGCTGGTCTCGATCTCCTGACCTCAGGTGATGCACCCGCCTCGGCCTCCCAAAGTGCTGGGATTACAGGCGTGAGCCACCGCACCCCACCTAAAGATTTTTATTGTAAAGGAGGCAGCAAAATAAAATTTTTCAATCCTCATAGCCTACAAGGTAAATATCATGATCTCCATTTTAATAAAGAGGAAACTGAGACTTGGATAAATAACTTGACCAAGGACATATAGCTAATAAGTGACAGCAGCTGAATTCAAACTCAGATCTGTCAGATCCCCGAGCCAGAGTCGTATTTCCATCACAGGGGTGCTCTCATCCTGGGAGTCTGGGTCTGCAGATGAACCGCACGGGCTGCCACTGGTGTAGGGGGGCAAGAAGCAGATAAGGACTCCAAGACCCCCACTGTCACCCTCCCATGCCCATCCCCCAACCACAGCCACTCAGCCTATTTCATCTTTGGGCACTGACACAAGGTTTCGCCTGAAGAGGCCCACTGGTTAAAAGCTCAAATGTGGGCGGGATGCGGTGGCTGGGCATGGTGGCTCACGCCTGTAATCCCAGCACTTTGGGAGGCTGAGACAGGTGGATCACCAGGTCAGAAGTTTGAGACCATCCTGGCCAACATGGTGAAACCCTGTCTCTACTAAAGATACAAAAAATTAGCCGGGCGTGGTGGCGGGCACCTGTAATCCCAGCTAGTCGGGAGGCTGAGGCAGGAGAATCGCTTGAACCCAGGAGGCGGAGGTTGCAGTGAGCCAAAATTGCACTATTGCCCTCCAGCCTGGGTGACAGGGCGAGACTCTGTCTAAAAAATAAAAGAAAATAAAAATAAAAAAAAAAACCTCACATGCACATACACATACACAGTTGAACAACACTGCACAACATGGTCTTTCTCCGTCCAGGAGACCCAGGGCATCTCTTAATGGACTCTGTTCACTGCGTGTTTAATGGGCCTGGCAACAATACAAAGAATCCACACCCTTTACACTTAAAGGCCACTATGAAGCCTGACCTTCTCGGGCAGAGCAAGTAGCCAGGTCATTAGCCTGAGTAACTCAGCCCTGACCTCCAGACTATTGATGGCTTAGTCGTTAAAGATAACCAACCACGGATCTATGTAAACATGGTGCAACAAAAGCAGAAGCTGGCAAACTCTGTGAAGAGCCAAATGGAAAGACAGTACATGTTTTTGGTTTGTGGGCCACGTGATCTCTGTGACAACTAGTCCGCTCTGCTGGTGCTGAGTGAACACAGTACGTTAAGGAATGGGTGTGGCTGTGTTCCAATAAACTCTTTACAAAAACGGGCAGTAGGCCAGATTTTCTGGCCCATGGACCACAGTTTGATGACCACTGACCGAAAGCATTAAAAACCCAGTGAGGTTACCTTTACTGTTGTTTATTTATTGAAATATCCTATAATATAGGCACCCATCCTAAAAAGCAAGATTGTTTCCCTTCGTTACTGGGAGGTAGGGAAGGATCTTGAAATCAAGAAACACACAAGGCACTGAGTAAGAAACAGACTAATTATAACTTCGAGACACAAGAAAAACAATAAGTATATGCAAATGTGTCAGGTTGGCAGAATCTTTGGAATGGTTTAAAATGACTATTGTTTTAATGCTAAAGGAAATAAAGTTACATGTTTTAAGAAAGAGTATAAAGTTGAATCATGGAACTACTATCCCCGTAATATTCTTTTCCTCAACAACCTCTCCTGCTAGGGACTGGCTACGTTCCCTTCGATGTTAACTGCTCAAAGACAGATTTTCTCAGCAGCAAGATGCCAAGGAACCTGCACGTGATCAAGCCACCCGAATCCCCGGAGAAAGAATCCTCAAGAGCTTTCCTGATTACTACTGTTCTGGTAACTGTATGCAGGGGCTACAGAGATAGTGTGCCATAAAACCAGGATGAAAATGAGTCACACCGGAATTTTAGCAACAAAAAAAAACTAAGGGATCCCTGGCTATCCTCTGTCTAAGCAACTTCCAGCCCTGTGCTGACCACTGTCTTAGATGTGGAGAAGCTGACCAAGGCCAGAGCTTCCCTTTTTCCTTTAGAGCAGTAAATGGTTCACTGAATTCTCTTTCTTCCTGTTGAACTTGAACTGCACATGAAGACAGGTTATTTGGGAAATGAACTTAATACTTCCTTAACTCACGTCTCCAAGCGCAAACCACCAAGACTCTTTCAGAAATTGCATGTGCTGGCTGATGGCAATGAGAGCCACCCTGCCCTGAGACCCAGGGCTCCATTCCCATGGGGACCAGCACACGAACTCTAAACCTTGAGCCTGAACTTGTCTTAGCAACAGAGAAAACCACAATGGCTCCAACAATGAGGTGCCCACAATGGTCATCACATACCTTCAGCATGAACTCATGCACCGGCCTGCCGATCCTTTCCTCGGCCTCCACGCTGTATTCTCGTGCCAGGGGCACAGTGGGGTGGTAGAGGCGCCAGTGTTTCTCTCCCTCCAGCTGCAGGATGAAAACCTAGAGACCCACAAGGCCCAGGAGCATCAGAGAGCTTCCTGACAAGTCACACACAAAGTGCTTCCGGAATATTAGCCCTCTAAGGGTTTACACAAATATATAGGTGAACCTTGAACAACATAGGTTTTTTTGTTTGTTTGTTTTGTTTTTTTCTGTTAGAGACAGTCTCACTCTGCTGGCCAGACTGGAGTGCAGTGTCACAGTTTGGGGTGCTGCTTTGTTGCCCAGGCTGGTCTTGAACTCCTGGCTTTAAACAATCCTCCCGCCTTGGCCTCCCAAAGTGATTACAGGCGTGAGCCACTGCAACTGGCCTGACGGCATGGGGATGAACCGTGCAGGTGTGCTTATATGCTGATTTTTTTCAATAAATATATTGGAAAATTTGGGGGAGATTTGCAACAACTTGAAAAACATGAAAAATATCAAAAGAATTAAGAATGTCATAAATGCATCCAATATAAAAACGTATATAGATATTAGTCTATCATCTACTACCATAACATATTCACAAATCTATTACGAAAGGTTAAAATTTATCAAAACTTACCCATACAAATACTTCCAGACCATACATGTCACCATTTGCAGTCAAGAAACGTAAACGAACTTAAAGATGCAATATGGAATAGCTGAATAAAATTAACTTTAGTACATATTGTACTACTGTAATAATTTTGTACTACCTCCTGTTGCTATTGCCATGAGATCAAGTGTGATGCTAATTATCTCCACATGAACCGTTCCTCTCTCCAGTGAATTGTGTATCACAGTAAAAAGTGATCTCTCAACAGTTCTTGTGTATTTTTCATCATGTTGAGTGCAACACCTTAAGCCTTGAATAATACCATGGGACCCATATGAAGTGCCACTACGGCTATTCCAAGTACTCCCGAGAAGCAGAAAAAAGTTGTAACATTACAAGAAAAAGTTGAATTGCTTCATGCATACTGTAGACTAAGGCCTGCAGCTGTGGCTGCCCACCGTTTCAGATGAACAATTTAGCTTGTAAACAAATGATGTAAACTTACAGTACTGATACAGTACTAGAAATATATTTTCTCTTTCTTACAATTTTCTTAATAACTTTTCTCCAGATTACTTTATTGAAGAATAAAGTACACAACACATATAACATACAAAGTTAAGTGTTAACCAATTTATGCTATCAGTAAGATATCTAGGCAATGGTAGGCTACTAGTAGTTAAATTTTGGGGGAGTCAAAAGTTGCAAGCGGATTTCGGACTGCACCAGGTGTTGGCGGCACTAACCCCCACTCTGCTCAAGGGTCAACGGTACAAGTTTCCGATAAAAAATAAAAATGAAAGATGAGAAATGCATGTCATTCCACAGCTAAACGAAAGTTGCCACTACTGGGTTTTATTTTTAAAAACAGGGAATCATGAATCCTGACACTTGATATTCATTCTTTCCACTTTCTTAGAGCCTCGCTGAGTTCTTTATATTCCACTATCTCATTCCTTTAAATCTTCTATCAGACAGCTAAAGCCCATAATCTCTGATGGAAAAGCCAAGCTTCAGATATTACTGAATGTCTAAATCCTGAATGTTGAAAGGGCCTGGGGAGACAGGAAGACTTAGCATTTTTTATTCTTTAATCAGTCAAAGATATTTTAATATCCTATTAAAAACATTAAAAATAATATTTTGGGAAAATGTATTCATGTCAAATTGCTACCACAGGAGAAAAAAGGGGACTTTTTACTAATAACTCTGTGTTTACACCTTATATGAGGACAAAAATAAAACTATGGAATACATAAGCCAAAGAGTTAAATTTGTTTGGCAGCCACGTCAGAGTGAAATCAACACTTGTCAAGATGCCAATGCTTAAGTGAAACCATGACCCTCATTCAAGCTGCCCCAAGATTTTCACAAATGGAAAATATATACATATTTTTGGCAGCTACTGAAAAAGAACAAAATGAAAGCAGATGAAGGACTGTGACCTCACCTTATTAAAGACCATACTTTGTGAAATTAAAGGAAAAGCCAAGCACACCTTTCTGTAGATAAATTCAAGAAATACTTGTTTCAAAGGAATGTGTGGCTCTTTAAATGAGTAAGGTTGGAAACAATCTCTTCCTTTGAGACAGAATGGGAAACCAGTTTAGTGGGACTTACTTTGGCCCAACATTTTGATGAAATCAATATCTCCAGACACTGCACAGAAAGAGTGAATACAGACCTAAGAGCCTTAGAGAATAATGTGAACTCACCCTGACAACTCTACGAAACCAGGCTCTCAACAACTCGTTCTTCCCAGCATGGAGCAATTTTCTCCCTCTCTTACCTCGACGTCATCATAATGGGGCGGTAGGCCCTGAGATCCTGCGGGAGTTATGTACACATTCGAGCCAACCAAGGAGCCAAAGTAACATTCCAGCTTCTCCTGGATCCTCCAAAGCTCATCCTTTACAAAAAAGGAAAAAAAAGGGTCGGGGGGGAGTGAAAAATGTATTAGAAATAAGAGTAAGAGCATGCTCTTGTTCACTTAGGAAGTCTTTACTGCGCAACTATTATATACCAGACACTGGGAATTATGCAATGATACAGCCAATACCCATGGCCTCAAAAATCTTCCATTCCAGTGCAGAAACACCATGCAACAGATGTGAACAGATAAAGGGGAGACTGACAAGGTGGGCAACTGGGAGTCCGGAAGCCTTTGAAGCAAGGAAGGACACAATCCAGTTTACATTTTTGAAAGCTCACCCTGGTTATTGTGTGAAGAATGCATTGTAGAAAAGAGTGGAAGTCAGAGAGACTAGTGAGGAAGCTTCTCAGGCAGCAGCTCAAGCGAGAAGTGACTGGGGTGGTAAGAAAGGCATGGAGGGAAACAGAAGAGTGGGATGCACTCTAGAAGCAGGACAGACAGGACGTGCTGACAGACTCAATGTAATGGAGAGGAGTTAAAAAAAATACTCCTGGGTTTTTGACGTGGGCAATCAGTTCCCCTTTCCATGTAATGAGATGCAAAAAAACTTACAAAAAACAAGTTTTCAGGACAAAAAAAAAAGAGTTTTATATTAGGAATGTTAAGTTTGGGATGCTAAGACCCCCCACAAGGAGATGCTTTTAAGTCGGTCTGAAGTTCTGGCAGAAACGAAGGACTGTAGATTTACACTTGGGAATTGCCTACACAAACTGGATATTTAAAGCAACGGGAACAGAAATGATCACATAGGAAGAAGGTACAGACAGAGAAGGAATAACAGGCTGGGTAATGTTCCCTCTCTCTACTATCAACTCTTTAGAGCAGACATCAGACTGAGGGGCCTAGCGATGGGCCATATATTCCCATGAGAGAGAAAGAAGTCTGATTTTACCAAGGCTGACGAGAAGAGAGGAGGGGGCAATTAGGCCATGTAGATATTAGCACTTCCTATGTGCCAGGCACTGTCTCCAAGTGCTTTACACATATTAATTATGCAACCCTCACAATAACCCTGCCTCATAAAGGCAGTACTATCATTACTTTCAGTTTAGAGAGGGTACTATCATTATCTTCAGTTTACAGACAAGGAAACTGAGGCATGAGAACATGCAACTAGTAAACGATGGAGCCAGGATTCAAATTCAGGCAGCATGGCTCCAGAGTCCATACCCTTCAGATAATTTAAGAAAAGACAAATCACACAGGACACTAAAGAGACTAAAGTTTTAAACTTATGAATGTACGGTGCCTGGCACACAGACTACATGACAATATATTTGAATATTTGCTGAGCAAACCGATGACCACAGCTTGGGAGTCCCTTCTACCACAGGAGTGAAAAACAATCCACTGTATTAAAAACATCCACTGGGAAGAACTGGGTCAGTATGAAAAAAGACTTTTAAGACACAGTCTGCTCTGTCACCCAGGCTGAAGTGCAGTGGTGTGCTCACAATCACAGTTCACTGCAGCCTCGACATCCCAGACTTAAATGATCCTCACGTCTCAGCCTCCCAAGTAGCTGGGACTGCAGGTGCATGCCACCTTGCCTGGCTAATTTTTTTCTTTTTTCTTTTTTTTTCTTTTTGTAGAGATGATGGTCTCACTTTGCTGCCCAGACTGGTGTCAAACTCTTGGATTCAAGTTATCCTCCTACTCTGGCCTTCCAAAGTGCTAGGATTACAGGTATGAGCCATGGACTTAGCCAAGGACATCTTTATACAGACCACTGGGCCTCTCTATTTATAGATCTCAGAGTTTCTACTTAACACAGAAAAAATAATGTAATATCATCTGAATAGCTCCAAAGAGTTAACAGAGCTCCAGAAGGGCCTAATTTATTTCAGGGAAAGGCCAACAGGACCTGGTTCTGCAACTATTTTTATATAGTAACTGGAACCACTAGAAAACCAGGGCTTGTCTCTCTCCCTTTCTCTCTCTGACGGTATGAGAGGTCTTTCAGAACTGTGTAGGTGATTGTATGGTTCCCGACCCAACTCTCAGGGTCTGTAACTGATGCATATGTCTCTTTTCTTCTAAAAGGTTACTGAAAATGCTATCAATGGCACAATTTTTCTATTTCACCAGGACCTTTAGCCCCTGAATCTGCCAACCGTGGCCTACTAGAAGAGATCTGGAGCCAAACCACCTCGGTTCAAGTTATAATTACAAGCAAGGTGACTTCAGTTGTTTATCTTTAAGATAACGATATTACCAGTTCCACTCAAACACTGTGGCGAACAGCATAAAACAACTTATCACAAATCCTATTTAAATTGCAAAGCAGTATACAAGCGATATTGCTTTACTAACATTGACTCAAGCACAAACAAGGCTCCTGAAACCTGTCTTCTCCTTTACCACAGGACTCGATATCCGGCGAGTCCAAGGAGGAACTAGAACAATGAAAGGGAGAAGCCGGAAGTCTCTCTCTTGGCTGGCTGTGACCTCCTCTCTCCACTGACCTACCCCTCAGAATCCAAACTCAAGGCCATGGCTAAAATAGAAGTCCGCGTATATGCCTAAAGAAAGGCAAAAGCAAACATACAAAAAGCCCCACTAAATTTCAATTTACATCTTTCAAAGTATGGTAGGAAAATGCCTTAAATTTGAAGTCAGAAACCCTTATCAGCTTGGAATAGCTATGGAAAGGTCACATCTGTGAACTCGTTTTTTCACACAGAAAATGGAGTCCACAGCCAGGTGCAGTGGCTCATGCCTATAATCCCAGCATTTTGGGAGGCCAAGGCAGGTGGATCACAAGGTCAGCAGTTTGAGGCCAGCCTGGCCAACATGCTGAAACCCCATCTCTACTAAAAAAAAAAAACAAAACAAAACCAGCCAGGTGTGGTGGCATGCACCTGTAATCCCAGCCACTCAGAAGGCTGAGGCAGGAGAATTGCTTGAACCCAGGAGGCGGAAATTGCAGTGAGCCGAGATTGCGCCACTGCACTCCAGCCTGGGTGACAGGGCAAGACTCTGTCTCAAAAAAAAAAAAAAAAAAGAGAAAGAAAAAAAGAAAATGGAACAAAAGCTGCCCTATTTCAAATGCCTGTTAGAAAGTTCAAAAGTTTAAATATATGAAATTACTTGGTAAACTCTAGTCTGCTAAGCAAAATGCAAATAATTGTGATAATTCCTCTCACCAGGACTTTTAATATATGGATTACCGAAAGCAAGTGCAAACAACTTATTATGGCTCCCTGGTTGCCCCCTTACTCGTTTTTAAACTAACTATACTAATAAGCTGTGCACGTCTGAGACCCAATAAACAAAGGGTGGCATGTTCACTCTAACAGTCTCTCAACCTGGCCAGGGATAAACTGCTTCTAGACTTCCTCTATTCTGATGTTAATAAGCCCATTACTAAAGAAACACACACAATGCCAAACCACCTCATAATATACTACTTAGAATCCAGACTCTAGTGGAAGAGAGTGAGCTCCTATGGCTTACAGGTCTCTCCAGTATGGGTGGTAGAAAGAGATTGGAAAAAAAAAAAAGGCCCAGCACAGTAGCTCATGCCTGTAATCCCAGCACTTTGGGAGGCTGAGGTGGGTGGATCACCTGAGGGCAGAAGTTCAAGACCAGCCTGGCCAACATGGTGAAACCCTGTCTCTACTAAAAACACAAAAATTAGCCGGGCATGGTGGTGTGTGCCTGTAATCCCAGCTACTAGGTGGGCTGAGGCAGAAGGATCACTTGAACCTGGGAGACGGAGCTTGCAGTGAGCTGAGATCATGCCACTGCACTCCAGCCTGGGCAACAGAGCGAGACTCAGCCTGGAAAAAAAAAAAAAAAAAAAAAGGCACATCCTAGTCTGGCCTGAGGGCTGAATTTGGGCTGAGAAAGCTCATCCTTCCTGCTTTAAGAAACTCAGCCAGAGCCTAGTCAACAAGGCAAAAGAAACAGGTTGTTGGACACTGGAATCCCAGACGAGGAATGTGCAGGGCTTTAGTGGATGAGCAGGAAAAAGTCCCGCAGGGAGATGATTCTAAAGCAGAGAAATGACAGCCACAGTGGATACCACACATACGCCAAACATCACCTCTCTGCTGGTCTATGACCAAAGTACACGCAATCAAATTCACTGAATTCATTTATGTTTATACAGTTTTCAGGTTTCTAAACACCACTCTTACAAGCGCTACTTCTAGTCAAGGACTAGCTCAGCGAGAAGCATTTTATTGATGGTGTCCACATTTTCTGAATTCAAATCATAACTTGGTCTGACAAATGATTTGTACATTCTTTCTGAGTGCCTAGGCCACAAGGTTAGCATTTCAGGGACATTTCAACTTCATATGATTGCTTGAGATGGAATAGCTGGAATCAGGACTTGTCTTGAATCTAAGAGTACTCATACTTCATACAGAGTATGAATAGGTTCAAGATCTTTTAGACAAGAAAGAAAGAGAGGGGTATTCACCAGATGAAGGCCAGTGGGATGTAACAAGCCACCTCAAGTTAAATCACTGGAAGCACTATTGGTAACTGACAACAGAGCCTCAGAAACCATCAATAAAGCCAGAATTCATTCCTCTCAATATGGAACCTCACAAACCCTGCTCTTTCTTCTCCCATGTTGCCATTTTGACTTAACGGAAGGTCACAGAAGGGGGTTTCTGAATGGGGGTAAAAGTTTATCTAAAATCCAGACCAGCCCCTCACCTGTTCTGGGCCATCTGTCATGAGATGAGATACAGATCTCAAACCTTGAGGAAAACAAATTAGCTCATACTAAATCTGCATTTTATAAATGTAGAAACCGAGCATAGAGGAGGCAAATTATTTCCCAAACGTCAATCCCTGATATAGAAAAAAAGTTAAAAATTTGCCAGTCCTCTGCATTTGCAAAGCAAAGATTTCCTCCATCTATGAAGCCTTACCAGGAGCAGTTCCAGGACCCTGTACCTCAATGTCACCCATTCGGGTGTCATTAAGGGTGAAGTCTCTTTATCGAACTTGCATCTAGCATGTGATCTGGTCATAGCTCTAAAGCCTCTATTTAGACGCAGGCAGTAAAGGGAGGCAACTTCGGGAAAAAAATGATCACCTTGATGCTATCATGCCTTAAATTACGGTGATGTGACAAACCAAATAGAAATGTCTATCATACAGAAAAACATAAACTGGCTTACAGAACATACTCCTGCAATTGTACTGCCACTTTAATGACTTTATAAACTTGCAGTATAGTTTTTGCAGCTCGATGATACCCAACAATGTCTACCCTGAGTTGCTGGAGTTTCTAACAGTTTAGCCAAAACATAACACATAATCTTAACCCTAGTTAGAATGCATTTAGACCAAAGAGGTGCTACCCCTTCTCAAACTGGCAGGAAGCTAACCATCATCAAACTATGTATTCACCCTTGAGCTGGTATGTGGCCAAATGTTAGTACTTTAAAATGTATGAGGATTCTGCAATGGGGAAACTGGTTACCTTAAATCTCTGAGGTTGGTGAAACTGAATCGTTGCCCTTTTCTGATCAAAATCTTTTCGCAGCTGAAGAAAGTGTGCTTTGCCATCTTTATTTAAAACCTTCTTCTTCCCATTGACACACCGGCAGACATTCACGTCTCTTCCATAGTACATTCCCCGGCTGCACAGACTCTTCAGATCTGTTAGCTTGAACAGGGACCCATAGTATGTGGCTAGTGCGGGGTCATCTCTCTGAATGAGAAGGGGCTTCTGCTCCCAGAATTCCTTGAAAAAAGTCTCTGTCTTGATGGGCGAGATTAAACTTTCAAAGAGACTACTGGGACTGTCAAAGTTTAAAGCTGAAGGCCCCCCAGCTGCTTCTACCTTCATCTGCTTACAGGGAACCGGCCCCTCTTCCTTCCCACTCCCTGCAGGCTTTGCTTTCTTTGGCATCGTTCTGTCTTCAAGACAAAGCAATAAAGAAATGCAAACCTACCAAAAGAACAAAACACATATGGTTAGGTGCCAGGATTGGTGTTAGTGGATCGCACACACGCAACTGAATGACCATTACACCTTCATGAGAACTCTCATAGGTCAAAGCTACTTCCCCCAGGAGAGGAGACAGCCTTAAGCCAATGTCGTTTCTTCTAAGATATGATTCAGCCTCAACCACCACTCAGATGACATATTCATCTAAAGAAGAACGTGTTTTTCTTTTACACAAGCACTATGTCATGGTATTATTTATTAGGCAGTATAATTATCCCAAATAAACCTATTCAACTGTCTCAGCAGTTCCTACTCATAGGTTCAGCCTGTGGTCCTTGACACAGCAAAGTCAAATATCTTGGATTTGGCTCCCATCAGCATCAGGGCCCACATCTAATTAGATGTACTCTGAGTTACAAACATTCGACTAGAGAACAATTAACAGCCGCCCACTTCCAGGTGCTCCTCACCGCAGCACCACCCCAACTGTTGCGCAGGTCAGTCAATGCACCCTGGACCCACAGTGTCTCCTGGTGGCGGGAGCAGGCCACTGCCTTCTCCTGTCTCCACTAACCACCTGAACCTCCTCACTTCCAACTCTGAGCTTATTCCTGAAAACTGCCACTTTTATCAAAAACTCCCCTTCGTTTAAAGAAACAAATAAAGCCCCTAAAGGCTGAAAAGTGAAGGTTAAAAGTAGTTACATCTAAAGTCTTGAAAAAACTATAACTTTTTAACTGAAGATATTAAATAATACCAATATCATTGACCCCTAACACAGCACTTCTCCAACTTTAATGTGCACACAGATCACCTGAGCATCTCAATAAAATGCAGGCTATGATTCACTAGCTCCAAGGTGGAGCCTGAGATTCTACATTTCTAACAGGCTCCCAGGTGATGCTTCTGCTGCTGACACTGCTGAGTAGCAGAAGCCACTCAGCCAAGCCTTGCAAAGCTCCTTCAGAACTGCCTCCAAACCACAACTATTGATACTTAAAGGCTAGGTCTCCCTCATCTGTTTCCAAGAACTGTAATTCAAATTATTTAAATTTCCTGAGACTGCACAATTCTATCTTAAAGTCCTTTCCCCCTGGGAAGAGACTCCATTGCTTTCAGCAGATTCTTAAAGGAGTCCCTATCTCCCGACAAGGTTAAGAATCACTGTGCTTATAAAAACCAAAATTTCTCAAAGACTTGTTATTTATACATGGTAGAGTTTCCTACTTTGATGAGTTATCAGAATTGCAAGAATACTGTTCTCTGCTCTTTTGTCATTAGAACTAAGCAGTATTTCAGCTACACTGTAGACTAAGTGGAATTAATGTTTTGGCCTGGGAAGTAAGCATCCTGGAACGATGTGTTGCATACTGTGTGATGTGTTGCGACTTATGAAAGAACCTTTAGAATGAAACCCAGATGTAAACTGAACAGATTAAGAAAGGAAATATCAAAATATAAAACCCTCTAAACAGCTCAGTTCCTTCAAAAGGCCAAGTGCTTTTGATAAGGAAACGCAGGACATGGTGGAAAACAAATACAAATGGATACTAAAATCCTACAGGAGAGGGGTAAAGCTTTAAGCTTAGGGGAAAAAAAAATAAACTTTAGTGTTTAGGATATGTGGTCAGTAAGACACATTTTCTGAAAATGTTTCCTTTAAGTGAAACAGACCAGCTTGAATTCTCAAGGAAAGAACTAAGGCTTCGGGAAGGCACAGCATAGCTAGTACATGGAACTCTCAAGTGATGTAGAAATACAAAGAGATACAAAAATGGATTCGGCAAGGGGTACTGCTTATGCAGAAGAGGTTCCATAGCAGGCCTGACTGCTATCCTTTGAAACTGCAGCTTGTGGCCGATGTCTGAGAACTTAAGATTTTGGGAGAGTTTCCACCACCATTAACTGATAGGAGTGGCTCACCATGCCTAAAACGTTCAATCCTTACGGTTTATACCAACACCTGCTTTCCTCTGCGAGTCTGGAAATGTTGGTATATGCCAGGCAGGGGTGGCCTAAGTGACCAGCCCCCAGTAAAAGCCCTGGGCACTGCGTCTCTAACAAGCTTCCCTGGTTGGCAACATTTCACAAGTGTTGACACAACTAGCTGCTGCAGCAACTGAGCGCAGCCGGTGTGGCCGCTCGAAGAGCCTTGGAGTCTTGCACTTGTTCTCCCCAGAACTTCACCCATGTGCCTCTTCCCTTTGCTGACTGTGCTTGGCATCCCTTCCCTGTAATAAATCAGCCAAGTCCTCCTAGCAAATTGCTGAACTAAGGATGGTCTTGGGGACCACACACATTGCTCACGTTTAATTTTTAAAAACCTAGATGGGTTTATTAGGTTTGTATTACTAAAGGCACCCTATACAGTAATTTTATATTCAGCCACACATCTCTTATCGCTCACAATTGTTCCGTTTAAAATTTAAGGGGAGAGAGCAGCAGGAAGATGCAAACGAAAAGCTTGTTTTCTTTAAGCATAATATATGAATACAGTATAAGCACATTCACCAGAAAGTGTGGCTAAACAAAAAAGCAAAAAAACTAAGCCCAAAAAAAATCACTTAAAAGAATCTTTCCCATCTACAATCACTAACAAAATATACCCCAATACTGTGTAACAAATGCTGTCCTTAGAATATAAATTTCACTACCCATACTGCAAAAAGTTACATCATTTGTTTCTCTATGTTCATGTTGAAATGATTTGAGGCTCAGTTAATTGGAGCCTAAGCTTAGAGGTTTCTGGGCAAATAAACTATTTCTCTGATTCTCACACTACTCATACTGTAAGACAACCGTTCCTTTCAACAGCTTTCTAGAGCACAGGGGAGAATAGATGAAGCATCCTACCACATTAAACATATGAAAGTCTCAAGGTACATATCACAATTTCGGAAACAGCAAAAAGTAAAACACATTATCTCAGAATCCAATACTATAGTAATTAAAGAAGACAATGCTTTGTCTAGAATAGTACAGCCAACACAATCTTGCCCATAAGCCTCAGAGACCACCCCAATAGGAGTAAATATTTCTATAAAATCACAGAAAAGTTTTTGAAAAGCAATTGTTTTCCATTTGAGTTGACTATAAGCATTAAATGTAAAAAGACTAAAAGATTTACGGTTCATACTTTGGTGACTACCCCACAGATAAACCCTATAAGAAAGTCAATGTTGACAACCATACTCCAGGTAACAGATAGAGAGTCACTATATTTTAAAGGCACCCTAAACTCCTTTCCCATAATATTTGAGGACATGAAGACGTGAGGAAGCTCTTGAAGGAAAGGATTTGTATATCCCCAGAAACAAGCAAGGTGTGGTACATAGGAGGTCCTCAAGAAATGTTTGCTGAATTTTTCACGTTTTCATCTTTCGTCTGTATACAATTTTGGAGACAAATCACAAAGGCCTTACACAAAACAGTTACGGAAAAAACAGATGGTTTGTGCAGAGGGATTATTTTTCTGATGGCAGCTGTCACTTCAGGATTCAACAGTATCGTAAAAGCTAAAAGGCACTTTAGACATCAGTAGTTACTACTAAAGCGGGGGAGGGAAGTATGAGTTTCCACATCCCCTGGGCACTGTTTTACCGAATGTAGTTCAGAGTTACCAGCAAGGTTGTTAGCATGCAAATTTCTGGGTCCCTTATCAAGCCCACTGGATTGCCACTTCTGAGGGCTGCGACCCAGAAATCTGCATCAACATAATAGGCTCTCTAGATGAATTTTAGGTCCAGTAATGGAGGACAACAGTCAAACGCAGCTCAGTTAAACACACACGGCTGTCAGAAATTATATATTGTTTGTAACAAGGTTACCCAGACCTAAAACATTTCTTTTTGGCTCAGAGACATGTTAATCAATCCAGAGGGAAAACTGGTTCTCCTATTGACCTAAAGGGGTGATCAGTAGCTATTTTTTAGTTTGATTTTAGAGAGGAAACGGACTATACCTCAATGTATTTTGGTGACCTTGATGTTACAAAGCTTGATGTCCTGGAGGCAAAAAACAGCACCAGCAGAAGCTGGGTCAATCAGGTTCCTCCGCTCAAAGATGAGCCTAGTGATACAAGTGAATAATGAAATCCGAGACACCAGATTTACAGCTAACGAGTGGTAAAATCAATCCTCTTCCTCCCAGTCTATCCTTCCTGAAAACAGTGGAATAACCTGGTCTCAGTAAGCCGCGTTGAGCACCCAGCTGCTCGGCCAATCGCCTTGGAATTATTTGCTGTAATAATTGGAAGCCTATGATGTAATGCAGGCTGCCCCGTCTCCCCCAACACACCTGAACTTTCATGTTGTTCTCCGAGCTGTAGAGCGTGGTCTCTTAGGCCCGCGACCTGACGGCCTGGCGGGCGCGCCCACGTGGAGGCGCGCTCGCAACAGGCAGTTCGCCACCAGCGGCGGAAGCCCGGCCACCACCCTCCTTCCCAAACCTCCAAAACTTTCTGCGCGGCTCTCGTAACCGGGTCGCGACCAAATTAGCAGGCACTTGTGCGGACTCGTCTGTGCCCAAAGGCCTTCCGCGGACCATACCCCCGTAGGATCCGGG